CAGGATAAAGCCAAAATGTTAATGATTGCTACAACAGTGCCAGTGTAATTTAAGCAGCTTCTAAAGCATATAATGCAAGGTACAGAAATCGAGTTACTTGCTCCATCTGTAGACTAACAGGTGTCTTCTATAATTATGCCATGCTTCCTAGAGCCAGACCTATTTTGCCAAAGCATCTTAGCAACAAAAGAAAAGGAGATTTGTATATTGCCTCTTCTAGTACTGTGTTCTTATGTGACCACACACAATTCGGTACGAGATAACCTAATGCAGGAGGTATTTTGCCTTTGTGCAGTTAGGTTTTGGTCCAGAAATTTTTGGATGGCTTATGTTTCAATAGCAGTTCAGTCACTGAATGTATGAGATCCACATTTGAGTGTGATGGCTCCCTGAACATAGTAGACAACTTTGTTCCTATTACTGGGAGCTGGTGAATGGCAATGCTGAACAAATGTGTGCAAACTCTTGCACTGATGGTTTTTTTTCATTGTGTGACCTGGACTCTAACAACAAAGTAACTCTATAGTGAGACTGTAGACTGAAAGTGCAGGAATTTTATTTCCAAAGTTTGTTTGACTGGGCCAAGAAACAGATTGTCAAACAAATTCATTGGCACTGAAATTATATCCCTGCTTAATTATCTCTGTTGCCCTCATCCCCCATGCATTAGTTGTTATCTCTGAAGTAGCTTTCCTCTGACTAAAAGCCTTTTTAAACCACATCACTAATAATTAGATATGACCCTACTAAAGTCAGTGTATGTCATCGGCTGACATTTTGCCATGATTGTTTGATCATTCAATTTGTATATTACAGGAGTTGGCTATTTGTATTTCATTCCTCCTGTCCGCCCCCTCAACTAACAGCCCAGTTGTATACTGATTCTCTAATATCATCAAGAGGGGAAACTGAAGTCTATGTGAACTGTAGGAGGGGTTTCTTTTTTGCATTACTCTGGTGTGATTTGATCTCTTACGGCATTTTTATGCATGGCTTAATGACCTTAGAATCATTACTTTTCCCCTTCATGATACTGGGGTGACCAAGGGAAGAAAGAGGTAAAGGGTATCCCATGGACTGAAAAGAGCTAAGTAGGCTTATCCTATGAGTATGAAAACCCCATGACTCAACTGTGATGTGAGGAAGAAATCTGTGGACTATTAGAGGAGTGAGTTAATCCTGTAAATTAGCGAAAGCCAGATCATCACAATTAGTGAGGATTTGGAGTCTTGGTTTCCTCCCCTGCTCTGTAGCTTAAGGATTTTGTCCACGTGTGAGACTAGTTTCTTTTCTGAAATAATAGCTGTGCTGATTGCTTGCATCATTGAACAAAAGTATAAACTGAAAGGAGGGGAGATGTTTTAACAGTGGGAAAAATGATGTAGAGAGGGGAGGAGAGAGGGAAGGAGAGCTGCCCGGTTTCTTTTGGGGCAAGAAAGTTGCCCCAGCTTTCTTGGGGCAAAGTTGTTGCCCGCTGCCTTCTTTCACCTTGGCTTGTGGCACCTGCCCCAGGATGGCTCCTGAGGGGTTCCCGAGGGGCTGAGGGCGGGGGGCTGTTGCCACCAGCAGAAACTGGGAATATTCCTCGGGCAGCGCTGGGCGATGCTGTTTGAGTCTGTCAGGACAGTGCCCTGGAAGTGCAGCGCCCCAAAGCATCGTGGTGTTGTTAAACCCCTCGGGCCGAGGGTGGTGGGGCGGCGGGGTGGCACAGAGTGCTCTTTTCTGCCCTTGCGCTCGTTCCCTCCCCTGGGGCCCGGCTGCGCCTGCGGGGACTTCATCTCGTGCGGGGCAGTCCAGGCCGAGGCGATGCTTAGCCCTGGTACTGCCGGGGCCTGCACGGTGGGCGCTGCTTTGGCACTCCGGAGTGGAGAAGGACGGAGGGAGTCCGTGTCCCTCGCTGTGAAACTGGGGATGGGGCACTGCCCGGTATGGATCGCCAGTGGCTGAGCCCTGGGTGGCCCCCGGGTCACCCTGTCCCTTCTCATGCAGAGCAGCTGGGAGCCGTGAGTCAGACAGGCCAGCTGAGAGGGGCTGCAGCTCCCAAATCTGCTCTGGAGGGATTGACCCGCTCATGCCTGTTCAGCTGCTGACACTGTGGGAATGGGCTTCTGCCGCACTCTTCCTCGGCTCCCTGGGGCCCACCACGGGATATTCCTCCTGGGACATCATGGCATCTGCATACATTTCCTTGGATTTCTCCATCCCCCTCACCCTGGAACTGCTCCGTGCTGTTCTCCTGGGAGAAGGGCACCCTCATGAGCAAGCACTATGCCAAACTCGAGGTGTTTGACACATGCGGCTTTTGGGTTTGTTTGGGTTTTTTGTATGGGTAAGTCACTACAGAAGTGATGAAAAGGGGTGAAATGGCCAAAGTACAGATGGACACATCTGTCAAACCCAGTTCTAGCTATGAAAACCATTTTGCACGGTTCACCTCTTTCCTCTGCCTCCTGCCAGGCATCTCCCTCACGGGCCCCCAGATTCCTTTTGGTCAGACTATCACAAGCCCTGATACCTCTTGGGCAGAGAACTGCAGGGTGTTTAAGAAACCTGCAGTAGCTTACCAGAGCAAGCTTTTCTGACATGAAGTCACTGTCAGCAGTCCACCTGGCAGGAGGAAAAATGTAGCTCCGAAAAGGAAGAAGGAGATCAAAGTGTTTCCTTTCCTCCCCTCGAATCTCTTCATTTCTGTGCCAAACGGGAGGCGAGTGCCCTTGCCTCTGCTTGGAGCACAGTTTTTCCTCCCAAGGAGGAGGCGTTAGTTTATACTTCGGTGCAGAAGGACCTCTAGTGTCCCTTCGTAGCTCATGCTTTGGCCTCGCAGCTCTAGCTCGGTATTTCTTGATTTCGAGACCTTCCTACGTACTGTGGAAGGAGATAAGGTCCCCATAGTGCATGTGGGAAAGTGGTTGGGAAAGACAGGCTGGGTTGCTCCTCTCTGGGGAGAATTCAATTACTCTGTGCCCCAGGTTCACCTTGCTTTGCTTCTGTGGCTCCTCCACATACTTTTTTCTTCACCCCAGGGGCCTCTGTGTGCCTTTTTGTGTGCCGCAGGCTGCTGCTTTCAAATATATTGTATTAAATGCTTCTGGTGTCTCAGTAATGAATTTTCCACTGCATTTCAGAGAATGCCAGGATAAATCTGTAGATTCATGTTGTGCTTCCTGGGACTTTTGTAGAGTGCCCCACCAAAGTCTGTGCTTAGTATTCAGCAGCATAAAATTTTCTTAAGCAGATTGAATTTAATTCATCGGTGGAAGCTATTAGGAATACAACAAAAATGCTCTTAGGTGTTTTGGTCCATTTAATCATTCACATGGGTATCCCTTATTTCATCATCAAGATGGCCCTGCATGCATCACTCCAGTGAGAAAGTGTGGGTGGTGGGGCAGGCTGGGTGGCCTTTCTCGGGGAGGAAGCTTCCAGGGTCTTTGAAGGCAGGGCGAGATTTAGCAGACCATAGGAGAGACTATGTGAGAATGGAAGCAGGTGGGTTTTAGACGTTGATGTATTTCTAAACCGGGCACTTCACTCGCTGCTTGACTTCAGGCAGCCAAGTAGCTGAACTTGCGCAGGCTCTTACTCAGGATACGGGGAGCAGCAGCAGGACACAGGGAAGAGCAGAGCAGGTCTCTGAGCTTATCGAAACCCACAAAGGATGGACGCAGGCGGGTCTCTCTCCGAGGTGAATAATGAAGTCAAACGGGTGCCTTTTCCACATGGAGAACCCCAGCATCCTTCCGCCCGCTTTCTGGGTTCCCCTCTCCTCCCACCCCGAGCCGCAGCCGCCTCCCGCAGACTTAAGGCAGCCGGGGGCTC